TAAATCCCCTAATAGCTTCAGCAACGAACACTGGAAAAATCTCTTTGACATCTTCGCATAGGAATGCCACTCTATTTACAACATTAGTACTTTTTCCTTAATTGGACAACATTTTTGGAAACATGGGACTGACTTCTCAGAAATACTTTTGATGGTGTCTGCCTTTTTCTAATGTTTTTTTGTAGTGAAATAGCTATGATTTCATTTTTGCAAAATAGAGACTATTTCACTGAAAATTTCTAGCAGAAAAATCACTTCCACTTAGCAATACCATTAAAGCCCCTGAATTGGGCCACATTTTGCTATCAATGCAGTTTCAGGGACACTTGGAAAATATTTTGAACAGCAGGGAGAAAAAGTGATTACCAATACATAGTCTTTCAATGGTGTGAATATTGTGGGTTATTTTCCCTTTGACTGTTTATGGCCTACTTACAGTATAGTCATACCAAATCAGGTCATAACGTGGCTCCTTTTTTATAGTGAGAATAGAATCAAGAATCATATTTTATTTACTGTATCTCTCCCACAGAGCAAAGGAATGTCCAGGTGTCACGCAAGGATGATCTCTTTTCCAAGACATTCATGACTCAAGAAGAGACAAGGAGAAAGGTGACTGGGAAGAATAATAGGCAAGTTAGCCTCCATTTCTATGCAGTTGAAGTAGCTGCATTGCTGTCATCGTAGCAAAAGTGGAGTTATAAAGGGAACTCAGTTGTGGACAGAGGGGAGAGAGTGCAGACAGCATGAGGGGTTATTTTATTGTATGTGGCTGTCATCAGATCAAGCTGCGGACGCATGTATGAGATGAAGACAGTGACATATTATTCCTATCACCCCATCCATACAAGGCAGTGGCACTGTGTTACAAGTTAGAAGAAACCAGTCGTTTGAACTTGTAAATGGCAGCTTAAAAGGGTAATTGCTCTGTTGTGCTACAGACTGTAAGTAAAAGCCTCACCTGGGTGTCTGCTCATCAGAGAAAATCTAGCATGAGAATTGGCTGGCACTACGCCGCTGCATTTCTGGCATCTTGTGTATCCAGTGTGGGGGAAATCTGTTAGCCAGCACTGAGAAAGCCTGGGCATGGATCACTTCAGGAAGCAGAAGATGCAAAGCTCTGCCAGAGGTCTGCTGTTGGAATTATCCCAGCTGCCTCTCCAGTGAGCCGATAGGAAAAATAATATTACTCCTCGGTGTTAAGGATGCATACAGAAAAAAAAAACAGCTTATAAGCTGATCCATAGGATTTAGCAAAGGAGATACTTTCCAAGAGACAGCCTTGTTTTCTATTGTTTACAGTATGATCTCATAACTGATTCCTTTTTTGTTGTGAAGAAGAAATAAGCTTGAGTGAGGTTCCACGCTGGTTTAGATTAACTTATTTATAATTCTATTATTTATTTTATCTGATTTGATCGGTTGGAGACCCTAACCTATCAGATAAGACCTTTGCTCTACCTGGAATATATGAGCAGCAGTCCCTGTTCATACAACAGGGATGAGGTCCTACATGCACAGGAACACTTGGCTTTGGGTTCCTAAGTCAGGCAGAAATAGAAGAATAACCTGTTTTTAATTCCTGTTTAATGTCTAGTAGCTCCTGGTTACTCTAATACTTCTTTCCAGAAATGAGTAATGAACCAAAGTGCAAGAAAGTTTCCTCAGGATGACACAGAATAGAGGGCTACTCTAATACTTCCACAGCTGTAAAAAATACATATTTATTACACACACACACATGCATAGATAAGGGGAAGCATTGTTGAACACCAGCTTCAACCAAGAGCTGAATTTCCTAGTGCGCTCCAGGCTGAAATTTCTGAAAAGCCAAAATGCTTACTTGTAAGCTATCTGCACAGCCCAGGTCAGCAGGCAGCAATTAGCTTCTCAGCCACTCACTCTTCTTTCCATCTTCCTGATGGATATTTCATCTGAGTTTATGCTCCCCTCCCTTGCCTTCTCTTCACCTCTCCGTCTCTCTTTCCTGTAAGGCTATGATCTGTCACAGGCTCTCAATGGACAAGACCTTTACATCCCATCACAACACTGTCACAGGCAGCTGCATTAGACAGGCCAGGATGAAAAGCAGTTTGGAAGGGAGAGAAGCCGTCATGCTTCAGGGAAGAAACTTGAACTCTAGCCAAGGCAGAGAGATGAAGGAGGACTTTGGGCCAGGAGGGGAGAAAAATTCGACTCAGGGCAGGTTATCCCATAATTGCCCACTTAGGCTTTCTTTAGACCTTCTAAGATGCATCTTGTTCTGGCCAACATCAGAGAGAAAAGGGGTGGATCACTGGTCTGATCTAGCAGGGGAATGAGCTTCTTCATTCTTTCTGCCGGTGTGCTGGGTTTATAACATTTTCTGAAACCACAATGAGATCCCTTTTCCAAGCATGACCCTTGCTCTGCCAGTGATAGCCAAAATTCCTTCCCCTCGCCCCGTCCTTCACACTTCCACAGGCAATACAGAGAGAAGCCAGTACAAAGCCAGGTCAAGATGATAAGAACAAAGCCTTGAAGACTGCTCTTAGATACCAGCTTTACTTCAGCTGAAGGGGGAATTTTCAAAGAGGTGAACTCTTTCTGTCTCTCTCTCAGGCGGGAGTCTCCTGGGAGGAGAAGAAAACAGCTTTCATTTTAGCGAGTCATGATATTTATGGCCCTTTTATGAGTTTTGTTTGAAAATATGAAAGTGGATGGACTCAAATCTGTTTCAAAAGAGAGGAGATGGGAAGGGGAGAGACAGAGCATATGAAGGGCAGGTGGGTCTGAATCATTGCCCACGTTCAAAAGAAAATCAAATACCTTCTTTGTTTTAATATGGACCCCTTCTGTCGGTCATGAGGATAATGTCTGACCTTTCCTTGCAATAGGCCCTTTTATCCCTAATGACTTACAAATTTTATATGTCTACTACCACCAAGAACACTCACTTTGGGATGAATCGAGACAACTATTCAATTATGCAACTGCAGCACCATGCAACAGGCCAGGTCTGATTGCTCCCAAGAAGCAGACTTTCAGATCTCATCTCCTGCAGAAGTGAAAGCTTTATACTGCATTCCTGAGGGGCAACTGTCAGCTTCTGCTTGCTCACATACCTGAGTTTCATGTGGGCTTTCATCCATCCTATTTTGGTGTCTGTTCAGGAACTGAGGTTGCACCCTCTTGAGGGCCTCCTGCTTTTCATATGTGGAATCTCCTCTGACCCTTTGCCTCCAGGCAGTACTTCTGATCCAATTCACAGAATAAGCAGCACATGCCTTGCAAAATTATTGAGGGAGGGAAGGTTAAGTTGAAGAACTGGATTTTGCATTTAATTTTGGAAGTACTTAGGCCTGTGGTCATGTTATCTGCCCTGTGAGTGAACCTTCACAGGTTATGGCAGTGACTGAGAAATTTCTACGAGCACAATGTATAAAGCTTCCCATTAATTGTCAGTTTCATAAAGGATATTGTGGTATCATAAAGCTCTCCTCTCCAACAAGGAGAGAGAGATCTACCAGACCAGCAAAAGGCCTTGGGCTTTCAATACAGTCATTACATAGATCAGATTGCTAGGATGATCCATGAAGATGTGTGAAGTCATATGATCTTTAATAACAACTGATGCGTGCTACATCTTTCTTTGATACTGTGTCCTGCAGTAATCAATTGTAGAGATCAAAACAGCTTAACCTTTGAAGTTAGGTATGTCGCTGGCAGTATGTGACCTGAAGAAATACAGCTGTCTGTTCAGTTGTAAACAGTTATTGCCACAACACTCGTTTTCTAATGTCACTCAGAAGTCCAAAAAGACTATAGGACTGTGAGCTTTGGGTGACAGATGCTGTTGGTAGTCGGGTGATGCCATAAAAACGATCAGTTCCTTTAAACATTTCTGTCTTCTACCTAACACCTCCTATGTCTTGGTTCAGTTTTATGCCTATGTACATGCCCTTCTGAATGGATTTGTTCTTCCTTCCGTGGCTGCTTGTTCAGAGTCCTTGGTAAGTTTGAATCGGGTTGCAAGATTTATTGATCTGGCCTTGTCCATTTTGTGGTGTGTTCTTTGATTTAATTTAATGACCGTAAAGCATTCAGGCATGTTGGCATGAAGGGTGCACTGGAAAACACTAAGTGATTGATTGATTGATTATGGAGAGACATTGCTCTCTCCACAGTTAACAATGAAGCTAGTTTCCCATTACACTCATCTCTGTCTTCCAGGACACCCATGCCTTAACTAAAAGTTAACCACTCTGCCTAAAATTTCCCAGGTTTGAATCTGCTGTGGGAGCAGTTACATTTTTTGCATATGGATTAGGTTTATCTATTTTAAAGATAACAAATATCCTTGAAACGCTATATATAGGGGAAGGTTCAAAGCACGGACTGTCCCTTCCGCTGCTCTCTAAGGTTACTTTTGCACCACCACATCTGGATGGCTTCACATAGACATTCCAACACTTACTTTAACCTGTTGGTCTTGGGGAGGAATGAAACCATTTTGTCGCCTGCTCTTATGACTCACAAATGATGCGTTCGGTTTGTGTCTGTGTCCGTGTGCATGTGTGGGAGTGGGTGCAAGTGCACCCTCTGGTAGGGGAACAGCAGTCGTAGAAAAACACCAAGCTCAGAAGATACTGAACAACTGTAACAGAGGAAGTAATGTGAAATCAGCTCCTGAATAAAATATAATGTACTGAAAAGCAAAAGGCACTCCAGAAGAAAAGAAAAAAAAAGACACAATTCTTCCATATCCAAAAAATGTATGTTCATAGGGTTACCCAAAACGACAGAGCACTCATTTAAACGGATTATACTGGTACCAGCAATGTAAGCAGTCTAATCCCACACCTCAACACAACCTACTTTTAACCTCTATCCACTTTTTACACAAAGAGCAATATAACAAATCTTGTTGGCATTTAACTGATTACGCCCAGACAAAGAAGTGAACACCTTTCTGAGAAGACTGGGGCAATTCACACACCATTTAGAGCGATGATCCCATCTCTCTGGAGAACTGTTTATTTGTTACACATGGTTCACATTTTTGAAAGTTCCTTCACAACTGAACAGGCAGAAAATTAACACAGTTTGGTTTCTCTGAATGGCAAATGAAATTCCATGGAGTGGGTAGGGAGCTCTCACAGAGATTTTGCTGGAGTGTATGAGCATGCAGTTTCTGTTTCCGAGCCCTAGACTGTATTAATCCCATGCTTTCTGCATCTCTGCTAGATTGTCTATAAATTTAGGAAGGTTATATGGATACTATGTTTTCACGTTATAATGTATATATCCAATATATTTCAGCTAAACCTTTTAAGGAAATGCAGACAATGCAGCATAACCATCCCCAACTAAAACTTTTTGTCTCATAATTCATCTAGCTCTCCACTACAACTAATGTGTAAGCATTTCTCAAGGAGCTGTATAAAAACGAAATTGTGCTAAATGCCTTTTAAAATTACCCAGTCTAAACTAGAGCCACAAGCAATAAAACAAATTGCCCTGAAAATCCTAGAGGGGGGGGGAAATGGGCTATAGCCCTGCCTGCCAGTACAGCCATGCAGCATGCAGCTGATACGCCAGGAGTAACTATTTCTGGCAGTGCTTCCACTTCCTTTTAAACTTGCTTCTTGAATTCCCAACCTAGCACATTTTACCACTGATGTCCCATCAACATCTTCGGCATCCCATCAATGTCACCATTTCTCCCAGTCCTCTTCAAATTTCCCAGAAATCCATAATTTCTGTAAATCCCACCATCCCCCTCCTTCCCACAGAGGTTGTCTCATGGTCTTTCACCAAAACCATTATACAAGTAAACAAGTTTGGCATCAGCCTCTTTGGCTCCCATAGATAACTTCCTTTTTATCCACTGTAGATCTGCTCCTTAATTTGTCTATTCTCTTCACATCTCTTTTTCAATAATTCCTAGTTCCAATCTCTCCAGCTTTCATAGTTTTCTTATTTCACTCAGACCAACATCAGATGTGTTTCTCTGTCCTGCTATCCCTTCTTTACTTCATTGTTTCCCACATAACCTGGATTTCTACATTTTTTTCAAAGGACATCAAGAAGAGTAGTAGAAATGAGAAGCCAGCTGTGAAAAAAACCCAGGACTTAATGAGACTGAACCACTGAGCACTAAAATGGTAGATGAAGTCCAAGGTTAATAAATGTAAAGCATTGCACATAGGAAAATTTAGCCTATAAAACGATGATCTCAGAGATGACCACTGCCACCCAGCAGCACGATTTTGTGGCTATAATAAATAGTTCAATGAAAATGTCACCTTGGTGCTCAGCAACAGCCAAAAAAGCATGCAAACTGTTACGAGATGACAGGGAAGGAACAGACAGAAAAATAAAGGAGGCCATTGTGCCACAGGATAAATCCCTGCTGCACCTGCACTGTGAATACTGTGTGAGGACTTGGTCGCTCATCTCAAACATGATAAAGTAGACCTGTGAAGGGTTGAGAGAACAGTGGTCAGAGTAATTAAAGACATGGATCAGCTCTGATAGGAGGAATGAGAAACCCATTAGGCTGCAAACAGACAGCTAAGGTGGGACATAATGATAGAAGTGGGTAAAATCTTGTGGGTCATGTGGATTCTAATCAGGAATCTGTATCTTGGCATTGAAGTAGGCTGGTAAGGAGCAGGTTCAGAGCAGAAACAGCGCGATGGTTTAGCATTCAGTGCATAGCAAGTGTAGAACTTCTTGCCAGAAGAGATCATGGAGGCTAACAGGTACAAGGCTATAATGTCTATAACTCAGAAATGATTAGGCACCTCCATGGAAGGAAAATCTGTCAAGGGCTATTAAATAAAAAAATATCACATTTGGCTCAGGAAGTCCTTGAGTTGCAAATGACTGGAAGCTGGGAGACCATCCTGGGGAAAAATCACTTATGTCACTGCTTTTATATTCTTCCCTAGGTATTCACTGTTGTTCTCCATCAGAGACAGGATATTGAGCCAGATGGACTTTTGGTTTGACCTCATATAGCCTTTCTGATGTTCTTATGTTTATATTCTTAACTGACTGTATGGATGCTCTTTGCACTTTCACCTTCCACTAAATAATGCCAAAAAAAAACCCCTCACGTTCCTGCCTGCAGCAGCAAAGTGAGGCTGAGAAAAACATCAGCCCCAGTGCATATTTGCTGAAAAATCCTTCCCAGACAAATTTGGATACTTACCTACTCTTTTAGCCTAATGTCAGACTAAGTGTCATTGCTGAAAAAACATTCTCTCTGTGGCTCTGATCACCCGAAACAATTGGTGCAGACCTCTCCTCTTTCACTGACTCTGTATCGCCTTCTGAAATCCAATCTTAAAACCTGACTTTCTAGCCTCCCTTCAACCCCTTCATTTCTGTCTCTCCTGGTTATTGGTCTTATGACTGAATGCTTTAATATTTTCACCATGCAAGGTCTTTATGTCACTGTTTCATGTAATTTATACTTGTGAGCTGGAGTCTTTCCCAACTCACTTTCAAGCATAGGCCATGTACTGAATGGAGTCCAAAATTATCCCCACCCCCTTATTGCTTTGGGGGTTTGGCTTTATTAGCAAGGATATAAGCAATAAGAAAATAAAGTTCAGCTGTTTCTAAGGCTTCTCCCTCATGACTGCTCAGCCAGTATCCTAGACGGCTTCTCCCCAGCAAGCCATTTTTATCTCTCTTTTAGACAAGGGAACTAATAAGCCACCTACCTCAGTGAGTCAGCAGAACCCACTTAACCCTTTCCCAGAAGGGTCAGAACTCGCTATCAGGCTGGTTTGGCTCAGGCTGGTTACAGAACCATATTCTGCCCCTCAGTCTTGAATAATTTATTTGTGCGGCAGACCTGGATTGCTGTTTAAATCAAAATGCTACCCAAACAAAGGCTGTGCTGTGCAGTGCAAAATGAAACCAATTACTACATCGTATGATGCTCATCTTTTACAGTGTGAGATGCCCCCTACAGTACCTGCAGAGGACAGGCGTTTCTGTCGAGAGCAGCAGCAGCCTTAGGAAGCAGGAGAGATTTTCAGAGGGAACAGCCTTTGTAAAAGAGCAGATTCAGAAGGTGTTGTGCACTTTCACTTTGATCCATCAAAACTGAAGTAACCACTTACTGTTGTAAGGAGACAGAGGACGGATCTGGTGCTCACGCTTGAGATCTTTTTAAAATTGAAATTAAAGTAAGCTCCAATTAAGCATAAGCATCACATTGTTTCGCACAGAGCAACTTTAGCAGAGGTGAAGAATAGCAGAAAATACCTATTTTAGCACACTGCAGAAATTCAATGTAAAATCTCCGAATGTGGATCAAAGCCTGAAATGTCACCACTTTAAAGAAAAACCTCAGAGAACTATGCAGAAGTAAGGGAAGCACTGTGTTGTATTGTGTATTATATTGCAGTAGCAGTGCACTATAAGCCTTGCAGCACCTCTGAGTGCCTGGAACATTAACAAGACAATGTTCCTTGTGTACTTCAAAAATGAAATCTGTGCTTACTCATAAAAAAAAAAAAGACACAAGTAAAATATGCTCTTCCTATTTTTCTAGCCCTGGTATTGTTCAATCACCTGATTTTGAGACTCCACTCACCTGACAATAAGCAGCTATCATTTGCCCTGGTCCTGGCTGTCAGAAAGAGTAATCTTTATCTTTAGAGAAGCAGGGATAATGTCTAATCAGTGAGTTAGAGTCGAGGTAAATGATGCTAAGTTTAGGAAAATTGGCACCTGCATTTTGTTATTAGTAACCATTATTTAGATAGCATTGCTGATGTGTGTAGCGTCATACAGAGACGGACAAAAACTAGACTCTGTGGAGCTTACGACCTATATTACACAATTAAAATAGAGAGAGGTGTTAGCATAACAGTATAGGGAGCCCTAAGCATCACAGTGAGAGAGAGAAGACAGGAAAGACAACTTTCTGTGAGAGAGTGATGCTGTGCTGTTGCATCATCCCTTCACTGGTGTTTAACGTTCAGTTCTGCCAGAGGGCCCAGAAAGGGAACAGATAACTCCAGAGAAGAAACCCAGAACAACTGGCTGAGGTGTTTGTAAGAGAGAGGTGGAGGATGTTTCCTGGTAACAAAAAGTTGCAACACACCAACTAAACCCACCACCTCCTAAATCAAGCTTCAGAGCACCACACTCAACAGACGTACATTTTGTCCTTAGAGAAGTCTCTGCGCAGTCCTCTACCAACACTTCAGCTATACGCTGTTTTATTATGAGGTCAGTTTGTGTATCACTCTTTTCCAATACGGTAATTGTCCTGAAAATCAAGACATGACAATCTGACTATAGACGTGAGAGCACAGACTCAGCTCAGCTGCATACAAAACAACAAATTGAAGCCAGTGCTCCAGAAACCCAGCATACACTAACACTAATCTTCACCCTAACTCTAAATCTTGAAGTAGATTTTAGACTGATGGCAGTATTACTGCATTTTCCCAAAGTTGGCCTGAAGTTATTTGCAGGAACCAACCATGAAGCAAAGGTAATTTCATCTAAAAGACAAATATTGTACCATGTGAATACATTCATTACTGCCTTATACTTCTAAAAAGAAGGAGGCATTTTCTTTTTTCTAGCATTTGACTTTACTTCATCTACTCAGTGAAAGAAAACAGTGCCTGTATTCTCCTGAACAGTCTTATTTCTGTAGGCATTTATAAGACTGGAAAAGAAAATGGAGCCTTTCTAGCAATATCTTCTCAAGTAAAATTGATCAAGACAGGAACTCTTCAAGTTCCTAGAAAAGCTGTTGGCTTCTGCCTTTTATGATCAAAAAAGTCCTAGAAAAATGTATGTTCGGTCTTTAACAAAACTAGGAAATTGAAATAATCAAAATGAGATGTGATTGTCTTTTGAATGGAGGTGCTACCATTACTTTGCTCCTGAAACATCACCTGGCTTCTAACACTGTGTTCCTACCTACATTGATCATTTAATACTAGCATCTTCTTTCTGAAAAACCACAAACACTTCCAAAACTTGACCTCTTCCCTTTATCGCTTTTGATTAAGAAAAGAACTATCTGCAGGAAATGCCCTGCAAACCACAAAGGATTATCAGAAATATAATGATGAGTGATTCTGGGACTCTTACACTCTGCTTGTGTTCCTCTAATCTGATCCTTGGTCACTCTTCCTTTCTCCGACGGAGCTTTGCTGTAGTTTCTTCTAGTCGGCTTCTCCATGCAGCAATAATAGCATCATCATCCAATTCTTCTTCCTCCTCTTTACGCACACTTCGCTTGTACTGAGAGAACTGTCTAGATGCAAATCTCTCTTCACTTTGTTCCACTTTTGCCTCTTTCTTTCCATTCTCTTCAGACTTTGAAAAGCTCTGGGTGAACTTTCTCTTAGCTCCAAATTCTGACATGTCTGACATGGCCTCCTCTTCACACGCCTCCACATGATGAGATCTGACTCGACTCTGTGTAGATGATTGAGGGGATTCGGAGTCAAAGGATGGTTCTGGTGTTTGGCTGAAAACATGCAGTTCTGGGCTTTTTTCACCAGAACTTGCCGTCTCACTGACCCTTGACCTTGTGAACTTATACATCTTTTTGTCCTCTTTTGCCGAAGCAGAGGAAAATCTTGACATGGTTCTCAGTGAATCTCCTTTTGACTCATAGGAAGAACTGTCAAGCTCTTCTCTCTGGGATCTGGAGAATCTGTAACTGGATGTTTCAGAATCCATCTCTCTTACTTTGGATGACCTGCTGTATTTCTCTCTGAAATTCTCACTTTGATCATGATATGATGACTGTTTTTCTGTTTTCAGGCTATTGAGCCACTTGGTAACATCAGTCTCTACTTCTGACTTCAGTGCACCTGTGTTTGCAGATAGACTGGATAGAGTAAAGACTGTATCGTTTCTGTCTAGATCTGCTTGCAATGGGTGCCTGTAGTTGTTCGTTATACTCTCCACATCACCTTCTACTTCACTTTGCTCACCTTTGGTCACCTTTTTTTTAAATAGAGTGCTGCGTTTATTGTCACTTATCACCTTTTCAATTTGGTAATCTGACATTTTCTCTCTCATTTCCATTTGCATCTCCTTCTCCTTCCTGCTGAGTTTCTTTAGGTCAACATCATCGGCAAAGAGGCTATACAGTGGTTTGCTTGTTTGCATAGTCTTCATGTTCGAACTAGTCCCTTCTGCCCTCCCACTTACAGAGGTATTGCAAGACAGGACAGACTGAGACTCAGCCCTGTGCACGTCCTGCTGACCGAGATGAGAGGCAGAAAAAGATGAGCCGCACTGAGAACTGAGAAGGGAAATCTTATCATCATCTACACGCCTGCCAAGGTCTCCTGACATTACACTGGAGGCCATTGCAGACGATGGACGGGACAGCATCATGATCTCATTTTGCTTTTGAGCAATGGTTTCATTGACCACGTTAGCAATCCAGTTCTGAATGCTTGCCATAGATATCGTGTCACCTGGGCCAACTGGGAGATTGGGAAGGGGAATATTTGGCTGTGTTGCCCCGGTGCTGCTCCTGGCCTGTGATAAAGATGAATGATTTGTCTTCATGCTCAGTGTAGAAGCTGCATCCTCAGCACCATTCGCAGAGGGCGCTGAGGCCCAGAAAGCAGACAGCGGGATGCTCCCACTCATTGTGCTGTCTGTCTCCCAGCTGCACATGGACTGGCTTTCTTCTAAAATTTTCTTTGAACGTTCAAGGAGTTCTACACGTCTCTGCTTCTTTTTAGCTGAAGCAGAATCTTCACTTTTGGCAAACTCTACAAATTCCTCCTTGCTTTCACAGCCCACCTTCTTCTGCCGCTTCATTTTCCAAGCCTGGTAAGCACTCAGGTTAACATCTGACAAATTCTTCCCTTCAGTCCCCTCCTCACCAGTCTGGCTGCCATCTTCTGCTGGAGATGGTGCAGAAGACGATGATGATTCTAAATCCTTCTTGTGAAAGCCAAACTGGATCCTTTTGATCTTCCACCTTTCTAGAGGAGTCAACTTGTCTTTGTTCTTTTGGCAGAAATTATAGAAGGAGCTACATTCTGACAACACGCTTTCCTCATCCACATCCCTCTCCTTTCTTCCTGTTTCTGGGGATTGTCTCTCGCCACCATTCTTATTCTTAGAACGATACCTCTGGACAGCTTCCTTCTCAATCTCCATCAGCCTCTGGTTCCACATGTCCCAAGTGCTCTCTGAAGACATGGAGTCTGAGCGGCTCCTCCTCATCCTGCTAAAGCTGCTTGCTTCCAACTGTCGCTTTAGGGTTCGGATCTCAAAACTGCTCACACTCTCATCATCACTAAATTCACCTGATTGGTAAGGTCTTCCTCCCATGTAAGAATTTCCATCCTCCTCTCTGGGTGGACCCTCCATTTGGTATTTCTCATTTCTGCACTGCCAGTCATGGATCCTCCGATCTACATCCTCCTCATATTGCTCCCGTTCCTGAGCCAGAAGCCTTGGCGACACTCTTTTTCCATTCTCAGTTGCTGATTCCTTTGCAGGTAGGCCTTGTTTCTTCCTCCATTCCTCATACAACTGTTCCTCTTCCTCCTCACTGATGAGGGTGGAGCGTTTGGAAACCCAGCTAGTTTTTCCCACTGATGAAGAGCTCATAAAACTACTTAGCATGCTGATGTTGTCTTCTTCTTCTACTGTGATGGAGTGTGCTTTGGGTCCTATGACACTTTCGGAGTCCTTAGCTCCAGACAGCCGGGAAGATGTCCCAGGGTGGGTGACAGGACTTTGACTAGGAGTGACATCTTCATCTCCAGTATGCTCCAGCTCTCGTTCCTCCAGTAATTGCTCGTTAAGCTCCCTTAGCTGTTTGAGGAAGCCATCATTGGGGTAAATGGCACGCTTCTTTCTCAGAGTCATCAGAGCCTCCAGAATGGTCATATGGTGATAGATCATCAGGTAAGCAGCCACCAGCACAGCTGAGCGACTGATTCCCATTTCACTGCTGACAAGGATTTTTCCTACAGACATGGAACACAGAAGTAATTAGCTATTTCTAAAACAGAGAGAAGTTGCTGTGCACAAATACATTCTCTGAATACTGTTAAAAAACAGTAAAACTCTAGATACTTGTGAACAAAAACCACATCAGTTTCAAAAGCTGTGGGCATGCACATTTTAAAACAAGCTAAACAACATTCATATTTTCACCTATACAATTCATTTCCCCAAATAATCAAAAAGCTTATAGTAGGTATTAGAAAGAAAAGTGATGCAGTATTCCTGACTCCCAGGCTGACATAGGGTAAGACATGTAAGCTTTCCAGGCTTTAGTTTTCCCATGTGTGAAAAGGGAGCTGTTAGCGGTAGCCTCCAGGAAGGTATTGGGGGGATACACAAATAACATCAATTAGGAATATCATAGGACTTTTAAATATACTTTTATATTAATTTAATCTTTTTTTTTTTTCTTTTTTCTTTTTTCCCTAGAGCACATATCTGCTGTTTTGCAGGGCACACAAAATCTGTTACGGGTAGACTGGCTAGAGGCCAGAGCCAGAGTAAATCTCAGAATAGAAGGACCAAGCAACTAGAGGAAGAGAGCTGATTTTCACTCCAGTAAGCTGATGCAAGTACTTACTCCAAAGTTTGGGACCCACTGTTCTTTAAACAGTGAGAGCCAGAATGATCTGCTGTATTTCACAGTGTTTACACAGTAACTATATCTTGCAAAAAAACCTAAGCTTTGGCACAAAAATATGTTTTTTAAATATAGTTTTATAGCAAATTAAAGTTAAATAAAGGCTTGTGAATACAAAGAGAATAAATGAGGCCTTCCTAGCCTGAAAACAACTAGCATTATTTTTCCCTGATGTGTGATAAACTCCAATTTATCAACGTGCTCTTTGCACTGAAGCTTAATGAAGCCAGTTTAAACACCTCCTGCCTGACTGTTGATGTGTTACAATAGGTATTTTCTTAATGCACCTATTCCTACACTTTCCAAATAAATGTATTTTACATCTTTCTTAGTACCTAGTTGTCTTCCAAGTGTTTCAACAGCCAGTAAAGCCTATCTAACAGCTCATCCAAAGTGGGAGATCTCATTCCTCTTCTTTCTTTCTTCTGTCTGCTTCTTCCCCTATGTAGTCTTTGGTACCACTCGGTCATCTAGTTCAGCTTACTAGCCTAGTAAAAAATCATCTCTTCCTTGGAGGACAGTTGGATTTGCTCTTAGTGAGCTGAAGTCAACAGTGACACAAAGTGAGCATCAGTCATATGCAAAGGGAATAAATGGGAGTTATGAGTAAGAACCTGGAGGAGCAGAGTGTCCCTCCTCTTGTTCATAGTGGTGAGCTATTGAAAATGGCTTTCTGTTTTGTATGAGGCACCGCAGAAATGGGCAGTAAGTGTTCACCATACTTGGATACACAGAACAATGAATCTACCCTCCACCCACTTAAAAATGTAGCATCCACTGTTTATCAGAGTAGCACTTCCATTCATTAATTCCCAAGCACTCTAAAGTAGTACAATCTTTTTGCCTTACCCCTGTAAGTCAGCAGTGCTTCATCCATGAACTCTGCAGCTGGATGGAAGTGTTTGGAGATATCCATATCTGGAAAATCATCCACTTCAATGCCCATGTATTGGATATTCAGACCATTGTAGAAATCTGGTCCTGTGTATACACCTGTACCATGAGCTGCATTCAAGACATGTGTAATGCCCAGCCTCTTCAAACGACTTTTGTTCACTGCAACACTCCTTCAGAAAAGAAAAGAAGGTGTTAGATATCAGTGTTCCTATTTCAGGTAGTAAAAAAGCTGTGTGCTGCAAGAGCTACCCAATTCCCAATCTGTGTCACTCATCAACACATGGCTCCCCTCAGACCTTAAGGTCTTTCGAGAGTTCTGCAAACATTTCTCTACAACACTCACTGGGAAAAGATAAACCTGTACTCATCAGTATTGCTGCGCACTCTGTTTCAACTTCAGCTTGATTTTAAAATCATCCTGCCATCTTAGGTTCATGCAATTTACTTACTTCTCCATCTTTGTTATCCCACAATTGATGTTTTAAACTGCATCCCCTTCTAATTTTGTGCTGGTCGGTCAGCTTACAGGTGTCTCAGCGATACAGGAGACCTGGCCATTTCCACTCCACGTTTGCTATGGTATTTCTTTTTCAATTTTCTTTTACACAAGAAGGCCTTTAGTCCCAATTTCAAGGCCAAATTCCAACAAGAAGAGCTCAATTTGGGCTCATTTTCCTTTTCTTTTGCTACATTTTCTGAAGCTTTAAAATAGCATAGGAAAGCTGCTGAATCCTGATCCAGACGTATTTACTTCTCAGCTCACAGAGATCTTTGTACTATGTGATCTGTGCAAGCATAAATATGTGAACACATATTCAGATGGCACAAAGTTGCTCAGAAGGAGCAGTGAGGCAGTGGCACCAGCTACCCAAGGAATAGGGTGGAGACACTGTCCCTGGAGGTATTCAAGACCATATAGATGTGGCACTGAGGGACATGGTTAGTGGACATACAGTGGGGATGGCGTAGTGGTTAGACTGGGTGATCTTAGTGGTCTCTTCTAACTTTAATGATTGTATGGATCTATGATTTACATTCTAAAAAACACTGTGTCTTTTTAGGGATGAAAGGTATTAGATGCATGTAATATATGTTGTGCCTTCAGTGGTTCCATCTCACCCTTCACTGGGAAACTCATGCAACTTGATACAAAGGCTGACACTCACTTTTCTGCTATGAAGACATTAGGCCAGACTTCATCCACAGCATCTCTGGGAGTCTCCAGCCTGTCCTTTACAAGTGCCCTCTGCAAGTCCATGACACACGGAGTGTTAAACAAGCTGGTGTCATCAATCTTTTCCTTAACTCGGTTGTACAGGTCTTCCACCATCAACTGCTGTGCAGACTCTAACATCTTGGGACACACTGCATCTACCTTGATGTGCTTCGTCTTCAGTTCTGGAACAAACTGACAATTAACTAAAATCATGTAAAAACAAATCAAATACACAATATGTCATTCTTTGCTCCTAAAATAATGCTTGTGGATTTTTTTCCCCTGTGACCTCACACTGTCCTGTCTCCAAAGCATGCACATACATGCTTACCTAGTAGCCTGAAGGATTTTATAATGGGAAGAGAATAGTCCTCTTAGTCCAGAGATACAACGGATTGGGAGTTAAACTGCATGCTCATTCCAGCCCCAAAAGAATGGGAAGAAGACACTACTGCAGCAAGCAACTAGCAACCAAACCATTTCCACCACTGTAGTACATGCTTCTGACACAGATTCAGTCCACAACTTCAAAGGAAGTCACCCAACCTTTCTGTATATTGTTATTTGTTGCCCAGAGATGTGGTGGAGTAACCTTCCCTGGATGCGTTCAAGAGCCCTGGACATGTGGCACCAAGGAACATGGATAGAGGGCATGGTGGTGGAGAGTAGATGGTTGGACTACATGATCCTAGAGTTCTTTTAAACTTTAATGATTCTACAATTCTATGATTTCTTCATGGTTTTCACCTCTGCCCCAGATGTGGTTTGCGCATAAAGGCTTTTTTGTCATTTTGAGGTTTCTGAATGTAAAAGGCAAAACAATTGCAACTCAGGTCTCTACTATGAACGTACTTCTTTTAACATTTCCTCCTCTTACCTTCACTGATTATTTGTTTGGCAGCCACACCAGATGACAGATGGATAGGCTCCATGAATATGCTCTCGGTATCAGTGTCCGAAATCATCGAGTACCTGCCAACCAACCACACTTCCTATTAGGCAAATGCTCTCTGCTGGGATCCCACCTCCATGACCCATGATCCCATTAACCTTATACCCATTCTAGAAGACAAGAGGGAACTGGAGCAAAAAGGATCTACTGATCATATTATGGTAGCCCAGCTCTTCTTCAGCCTGCACACTGCTCTCCAGAAGAGAGCTAAAGGCTTCAAATAGGCCTTTCAATCTGTATAGAAAAGGTCGAGAGGGAGAGAAGCTCCAGTGAGCTGGGAGTACAGAAGAATAGGCCAGTGAGGAAGGTTTTGGGCAGAGAGATGTCTGGTTTGAGACAGGAAGAGGGATGGATCAAATAAAACAGTCTCACAAATAGCTCTCACCTCAACAGACAGACATGAATGTTGTCCTATTAAACAATTTTAAACTAATTATGATACAAAAATGCCATTTGTTTTCTGTTATCCAATTGTCTGTATGCATCCTTTGGGTTATGACGAGCAATACAAGCATTAAGGTTGAAACTGTCACTAGCGGTGTTCCTCAGGGGGTCAGTATAGGGGTCCATTCTGTTTAATATTCTCTGATGACCTGGATGAGCAGATTGAGCATCCTCAGTAAATTTGCAGATAACAAGTTTGGAGGAAGCATCAATCTGCCTGAGGGTAGGAAGGCACTACAGAGGGATCTGGACAAGCTGGATCACTGGGCTGAGGCCAATGGGATGAAGTTCAACAAGACCAAGTGCCAGCTCCTGTACTTTGGCCACAGCAACCCCAGGCAACACTACAGGCTTGTGGCAGACTGGCTGGAAGACTGTGTGGAAGAAATGAACCTAGGGATGTTGCTCCACGCTCAGCTGAACATGATCCAGCGGTGTGCCCTAGTGGCCAAGAAGGCCAATGGCATCCTGGCTTGTATCAGAAACAGTGTAGCCAGCAGGAGCAAGGAGGTAATGACCGCCCTGTGCTCAGCACCCGTGAGGCCTCACCTCGAGTACTGTGTTCAGTTGTGGGGCCCTCACCACAAGACATCACGACCCTGGAGCCTCAGAGAAGAGCAGTAAAGCTGACGACGGTTCTGGAGCACAAGTCTTATGGGGTGTGGCTGAGGGAATTGGGATTGTTCAGTCTGGAGGAGGCTCAGGGGAGACATTATTGCTCTCTGTAACTGCCTGAAAGGAGGTTTGTGGTGAGGTGGGGATCAGCCTCTTCTCCCAGGTAATAGCAATAGGACAAGAGGGAATGGTCTCAAGTTGTGGCAGGGGGGTTCAGGTTGGGTATTAGGAAACACTTATCTGAAAAAGTGGTGAGGCATTGGAAGAAAAGGGGGTGGGGGAGAGAAAGGAGGGGAAGAGAAAGGAGGGGAGGTGAGAAAAGGGAAGGGGAGGGGGGGGTTACTTTGAATGATGGTCAACAGAAGAAGAGTGATTTATGAAGATCAACATCTAGTTTTACTTTATATGAGCTCAGTGAATTTCCTAAACAATTCTTGAATGCATGTAATTAAACGAAATAAGCATTCTGCCTACATTTTTCTGCAGTGTCCCACAGCTGAGGATCCTAATGTGAAATGTTTCATAGCCTTCTGATTGAAGAGGTTGATGGAACAGATTTTTTTCAAACAGACCCCTCCTCCCTGCCTTCAGCTAACGCATCTCAAAGTGTATAGAAAGTCCTGCAGAGCATTTTGCTTAGGAAAGGACTAAAAGGGGTTACTTAGATGTGGTACTAAGGAACACGGTTTAGTGGGCAATATTGGTGGTAGGTGAATGGTTGGATAGATTACCTTGGAGGTTTTTTCCAACCTTAGTGATTTCATGATTCTGTGACTTTTTTCCATGTTTTAGGAGTAAACCATGCTTTTTTTACATGCACTAACTCACTGCTTGTTCAATGACAGCTTCCTGTTCGGTACCCAAAGCCTGCAGCTAAAGATAGCTCTCAACCAAACCCAAATCTAAAGATCCAAAGCCTTTCTTGGGGGAAAAAAAAAAAAAAGGACCAGCATGGACATAAAACATCCACAGATCCTTGTAGTGGGCAGAAAAATGGACTACGTGCTTTTAAAGAGAAGAAAGGAAAGGCAGATCACACTCACCGACTGGGTGAAGGGCTGCGCAGGTAGTGGGCCTGCACTGATTTCACGTCTGGGCCATCCTTCTCTTCATCAGGCACCACTTGCTCGCCGTCTGAATCCCCGCCGCTGGCCATGGCAGCTGAGGGAGGCTCCACTGGAAGGGAGGAACCTGCAACACAGCACCGTTACATGTAGCACCAGGCTGGTGGTGAACCCTGCCACAGGGTGGGCAGAAGGGTTCGCGTATCTTCCCAAGCAAGGCGGTGGTGCAAGGAGCTGTGTTGGCTTCTCTGCCAAGGCACCTGACGATCCTGTGTCCTCGTGCCGCTCGCTGGCTGGTGCCCAGCACGCACCAGGGCCTTCCTTGCCCGTGAGTAAGCATGCAGGAAGCCAGGAGGAAGGCTGGCAGGGCAGAAACTCTATCTCCCCCCTGTGCATGGTCTCTGTATGGAGCTGTATGCCGCCAGGCTGGGACGGGAGAGCGTCAGGGAAAGAAACATGAGACCTCACCTCCCCAGCATGAAACGTTCCTCCAGTTCCAAGCCACAGCCATGGTTTCGGCCAGCCTTAACTCTCAGGTTTTGTCCTTGTAGCCCTTTGGTGGGAGGCAGCCGTGCTCACCCAGGACGGCCATTGCTTGGCCTGGAGCTTGAAAACACATCTGCTGCCACCTCCCTGGGTGGAAGCAGCAAGCTGACAGGGCAGCAGGGAGGCAGAGAGCAAGGAAATGGCACTTACCGCCTGTGCCTGGATGAAAGGCTATGTCCCCGTCGGGGCACAGCGAAGGAGCCCTGAGAGCGGGGCAGGAAACCTGGCAGGGAGCTGTATAAGGGAGAGAAACCCACTGCCCCCCTCTCTCCCCGTGCCTTCTTCATCGAGGGGCAGGACAACTGTCGGCACCGAGCCTTTATCAGCCCTCTAAATATAGCCTGTTCCTGTGCTGGCTGCTGGGCTGCACGGGGAGGAATTCAGTGCCTCACAGGCAGCAGCTGGTCAGCTGCTTAACTCCTTCCCTGCTGCAAGACCTATCCCCCTGTGCTTTTTCTCCTTGCAGGAGGCACCCAGAGAAAAGACCAGAGCCGCCGAGGCTGGGCCTCACCTGCTGGGAGCCTCCAGGTGCCTGGGATCTAGCCAGGCACAAACTGAAATGCTAGGGTGACCCCTGATGTCCTTGGGACACACAGTGAGGGGTGAGCCATGCTGAGCTTACTAGAAGCGAGTGGCATTTCACTTCTGGATAAGCTAGCACTGAAATGCACTGCATCTTCCTCTGATACCACTTCAAAGAGGAAACCTCCATTCTGGACTTGCTGGCTCCCAGCAAAGCTTGACAGACCAGCTGGTGGGGGAGAACACTGTGGAAGCTGGAACCGCTGTTTACAGTACGGATGGCTCCAGTTCTGAGTCATGCAGTGATATCCCACTGTTGACTCCTTTTGCAAACATAAAGTGAACAAGAAAGGACAAGTAAAAGGGCACTGACCCTTCTTATGGCATAGCTTTGTGCTGCCGTGGTGTGCTGAGCAGGGGTGCATCTGCCCTGTGCTTCATACTCGAGGGCTGCATCCCCGCCATGGGATGGGGCCACATCTGCAGGGATGCTGCATGGAACAAGGAAGAACCACGAAGCAGGCACTCAGTTCTTTTGTGTACTCATAGCCTACTCTTGTCTTCATCCATTACTGGGCCAGACAAGCAGGAACAAGAAAAAGTGATATATTGAATCTTGGGAGTCACACCAAGGGAGAAATGGATTTTGGATTACAGGTTTGAACAGATCCTAAAGTACCAAAAGAGGAAGAATTAGTTGATCTGACAGCTGTCTTCTCTGGACGATGCAAGTTTTAGCCATTTCTCAAAAGTAGTGCCACATGTGTTCATGTTAGTTCCTGCTAACTGAGGCAGGAAGTGATCCAAATAAGTTTGCTTATGGGCTCCCATATTATTGGAGAATGGAGTTTAGTTTCAGAAGCATATACACCATAGACATCCAACAAAAACTGATGCTTTTAAGTCACTGAATTGCTTCAGAAAATCCACCTTGTGAATCTTCGGATACAACTGCATGTTAAACTTAGAATCATAGAATCACTCAGATTGGAAAAGACCTCTAAGATCAACCGGTTCAACCAGTGACCCATCCCCTCCGTGCCCACTAACCACATCCCTCAGTGCCACATCCATATGATTCCTAAACACCATCAAGGACGAGGCCTCCATCACCTCCCTGGGCAGCCTGTGCCAGTGCCCAAGGTATTTATAGCACAATCACCCACAGGTAGAGATTCCAATAGGACCACATATGTTACACAGTGAAACACAGACTGCCTGAAAGTTCTTCCTTACCTCTTGTTGTAACAGCTTATGGGATCATGATGGTAGTTCTTTTAGTGGTGGTGTCAATGCCTATGAGTTTTGCAGCACATACTAGACAGGGAAAGAAAGTCAACACAGAAACCAAATTAAAATCTCTTAAAACTGCCTGCTATCTACTGCACACAGAGCTCTACAGAATTCTTATAGCTAAACTGTGCATTTGTCTCCCACGTTTATCACAAACTCCTGAGGCCCTCAAAAAAGAACTGTTGGGAAAAATTATCAGGATGTAAAAGTCTGAATATCCCAAACTAACAGGAGTGGTAAACAGAGGGCATCTAAACAAGTTGCTTAATATCAGATTTATGTACGTGTACTGAACATGCTGAAGCATATTCTGTCTATAGAACTTAGGGTAACAGATTTACCTAGCTAAGTCTCCAAAAACAGGGCATTATCCATCACAGTGCCAACGTAGTTACTTACTGCCTACAGAGACATCTGTAGACAGCAAAGAGTTTAAAAAGCGTGTTGGCCAGCTGCACTCAGTTAAATGTAACATCAGGTATTTGCCAGAGCTGCTTTCAGCCCTCCTTTCATTCTCCAGAGTACAAGTTTGACCACGGCAGGCAGCCCCACACAGCCTCAGCACCACACAACCACTTGTTCATGCTCTCCAGGTGGGGTCAGGGAGAGAATCATGATGGTAAAAGTGCAAGAACTCATGAGTTGAGACAAAGACAGTTTTCTAAGTCCATTACAAGCTGCATGCACAAGCAAACCCAAGCTAGGAATTCATTTGCTGCTTCCCACAGGCAGGCAGGTGTACAGCCACTCCCAAGAAAGAAGGGCTCAGCACCCATAGTGGTTTCCTGTGAAGACAAACACCATTGCTCTGAACGCCCTTCTCTTTCTCATTCTTTCTGCTTTTGTTGCTGAGCATGACGACATGTAGTGCACGACATCCCTTTGGCCAGTCTGTGTCACTGTCTGGGCTGCATCCCTTCCCAGCTCCCAGTGCACTCCCAGCTCCTGGCTGGCAGGACAGTAAAGGAGCAGGAGAGCCCTTGGCTCTCTGCAAGCACTGCCATGCAACAACTAAATCATCTGTGTGCTCTCACCACTGTTTTTATAAAAAATCTACAATAAGCATGATATAACCCTCTACAACGGAAATTAACTCTATCCTAGCCAAAACCAAGACATTCAGTCAATTAAATTAGTGGGAATTTTTGCCTTCCAACTGTCCGTACAGAACATGTGAGCAGTGGCTGGACTTTCACTGTACACGCCAGAGTGAATGTGTAGCTAGCATGCTGTAAGCCACCAATCAGCTTATTCAACAGCCTTTTGCAGAGGAAAGAGAGGAAGTAATTTTGGCACACACAGCTGTTGAGCAAGCCATGCACTATGACAGATGAGCATAAGAGCTCTGAACACCTGGCTAAGATTCACAGAATCCCTAGCTGGAAGAGAGCCACAGAGATCATAAGATGCTATGATTTTCTTTTAAATTCCTAGGGCAAACTGGGAGAAACTGGGTTTGTTGCCTGAGGAGGAGGCTGGAATTACAAAGGACTGTACCACTATCATTCATGATATCATCTGACAGATCGATGCAGGTACTGGTTTGTATTTCCTGGAAAAGTACCACAGAAAAAGATCTGTTACCACCTTGGATGACTGCAGAGTGGCAGGCACTGCTTGGAAGACTTCACCGATATCCAACTTCTGTTTTTTTGCTTTGAGCTTCTTAGCCTTATTCTTACCCTTCCTTTTTCCGTTGACTTGCAACACAAGTTGGTTGCCTTGCTCAGGAACCTTCTATTATGTTCTCATCCATATTTCTCCCAAGCTGAATAATCACAGTCTACCTTAATTTTGCTTCATGTAGATCTTCTTCTGTACTTCTGACCAGTGAGACACCTTTCTACTGGATTCTGTTGTTGCTATAAGTTTACATGGCTTCAAAAAAGGATTGAACAAACTGAAAAAAAATAAATGAATCTGTCCAGGGCTCCAAGTTTTACAAAGATATGGCACCAGGAAATCCCTGAGCTACAAATCATAGTCATGCATCACTGCACCTGGCCTCGATTCTTTCTGGACATCCACCACTGCTGGCTGTCAGAAAAATGGACAGTAGGCTTTTGGTCTTTCCCATTAATGCAGTTCTTACATTTTTATGCCTTACTCTCTACCTTTCCTATTTTTTTTTTTTTAAATCTCTTTAGAAGGGGTTAGGGAATAACAGTACGTGCTGACAGCACTACAAGTACAAGAGCATTGTATTTTATATAGTTGTAATGATTTTTCATTTTTCTTTTCTATTCCTTCACTAATCATTTCTAGATTTACCTATCTCCATCACTAAGCATCTAATCAATTTTTAAGAGAATTATCCACAACTTCAGCATTCATCCTTGCATAGATTCCTCTCGTCTGTTTTCATTTACGTTTAACAATATAACATTTGAAAATACAGAATTCCTAAGCAACTTTATAACTCAGTTACTCTGTATCTTCACGTACTTCTACAACTGTAAATTCCACTGCTTTCAATAGTTTTGTACCATCAGGAAACGTTTTTAAACTACTTTTCATTCCCTTTGCCAGATGATGCACGATTATGCTGCCATAGTTTTAAGATTGCCCAGGAGGAGCCCATGGAGGCAGATCCACCACAGAGATGAAGAACAACTAGCAGAAGTGGATCCACCTGTGACAGACATGACCTGGCATTACCCTCAGCGTGCCTCGGCTCTCTGCTGCAGCAGCAGGGCGGTAGAATTGCAGGAGCACCAGGCCATCTTCTAGTCTGCATCACAGCCTCTGCCCCGCCGTTGACTCAGACACGCCAAACAGTGACTTCAGACGTTGTGCTGTGCACTCCTAAAATTATCGTACTCTTTGGATCGCTCTCTTTACGTACCTGTGTGTTATGAGAAACTGGGAGAGGCAGTTAGCTGGGGGAGAAAGTTCACAAGAGGGTAAGTTTCCTGACTCCAGGGGGCAGAGAGCGGAAAGAGATATCAAATGCTATTGGTAATCCACCTTGCCATTCTGGGTGGGAGGAGGGGCAAAGCAAAGCACTTCAAAAGATTATGAGGAAGTGGACCTGTGATGTCACTGTGCAGTAGCCTTCAGCTAAAGTCAGCTTCTTCTCTAGCCACCTCCAAGTCAGAAGGAAGAGCACCCTGAGGTGAAAGGAGGGAGAAAGGAGGAGGACAGCAATGAAAGGGCTTCAGCTGTTTGTGTGCAGTGCAGGTGAGTACTGATTTGGTTGTATCTTCAAGGGTTGGGTAGAAGGAAGCAGCACAACAAAATCTGAGTAATACAGCAGACTACTTGGTGTGCTTTGGTTTAATATAAGTTTCTGCATGTTGATGGTCAGGCAAGTGTGTGCAGTTACCCTGTGCTCAATGCCCAGACTCACAGGCATCTCATAAAGCTACAAGTCAACTTTAGAAACAGGAAAAGAATGCTGTACTTCAAGAGGCCGAAAAATATCTCCAAAACCAATTGTAACGCCTTCCGTTAAATGCAGCATTTCGTCATGAAGATGGTATTTCCT